ACACATGAACTAGTAGGGTGTCAGAACACTGCTTGCACAACAGGCTGTAGTGGTAATGGTGCTTGGAGTGTTTCTTTAAGTATGTTTAAGCATACCATCCACCAGAATTACACTAGGATTTTTTGTTCCCATTAATCCTTAGGAAAATGTATTCCAAGATGTTTTAGAACAATTCAGTGTACTTTGTTGTACATATACTTAATTATACTACCATTTTTATCAAGTCATTTGAAAGAAAATGCAATCATTGCATATCTGTAAACTCCTTTTGAAGTGTATAATCTCAGTATCAAGTGATTTTAAGTGTTTTTGTAGATTGATGAGGGGTTTAGTAGATTATTACCAAATTATACTCCAACGTATTAGTATTTAGATAATCATGCTTTTTTTTCTACATTAATGTCTGTAGCATAATTAATAAACCATGATAGATAGTGCTTGCTTCAAATGAGCACTGTTTGCTTCAATCCAATATTATGAATAAAACTAATATTTTTATGCACTAAATATTTTCTTGAGGGATGAAAATCATCCTGCAAAATTAAGATCAAAATAGCAAATTTTAGGAGAAGAAAACAACAAAAATGCAGCTGAGAATAAAAAAGGGTTATCTAATAACTAATAGACCTGGAAACTGGTATCTCTAATTATCTCTGTGTTAAAAGAAGTAACATGTGATCAAATAGAAGTTTTGTACTCTGCAATTTCTTCAGCACTTTAACATTCAGTGCTAAAGTAATAGCAGACCATCTGTAATCCCTTCATTAATTTAATGTGCTTAAAAACAATTAGAAATCATCAAACATATTAAAGAGACAACTACAGCTTAATGTATTTGTTTCAGTGTCCCTGCAGGTTTTTTGTTTTTTTTCAATTTGACAATTTTTATTTTGTCTTAAAACAGGTAGGGATACAGAAAAGAGAAGGTGGGTTAGGGGGGAAAAGATTGTGCAGGCATTACATGTTACAAAATTACATTGTTTCCATATGTACCTTAAATAACCACCTGGGTCGAATACAGCTACCTGCCGCAGTATACCCTGGCCCAAGTTAGTGTGTTCTGTCTGCATTGTCCCTGTGTGGAGTATTTGTTGTGGGACACTTTCATGCGGTTTTTAAGTGTAGGCAAAGCAGCACAGGAGGAAACATCTACCGTGCACAAATTCAACCTGGTCAGACTGTATGATGTTCGGGAGTATATTCGTCAGGCGAGTGGCGTAAACTTTTGCTAGGATCTTCACATCTGAGTTTAGTAGGGAAATGGGTCGGAAGTTAGCGCATTGGGTTGGTGGTTTTCCCGGTTTAGGCAGTGTGGCTACATTGGCTGCAAGCATATCTGATGGCATAGATTCTAGTGCGGTGGTGGATGTAAAGAGCGACACCATTCTGGGGGCAAGGATGGAGGCAAACCTTTTTGTAGTACACATTTGAGAGCCCGTCTGGACCTGGGGCTTTGTTTAGTGGCAGATTTTGTATGACTGTATCTACTTCCAGTTGGGAGATAGGTTTTGCTAGGGATGATTGTTGTGCGGCCGTTAATTTGGGTAATTCAACTCCCTCTAGAAAGCTAGCTATCTCCCCTACAGTGGGTTTGTGGACTGTGGGGTCATTTTTTTAATTATAGAGTTTCCCATAGAACTCCGGAAATAGGTTACTGATGTCTTGGGGTTTAATCACTTTTTCCTCGTCTTGTGTAAAGAGGTGGGATATTTTGGTGTGGGCCTGAGCTTCTCAGAGCCGGCTCTCTAAAAGCAAACCCGCTCTGTTACCCATACAATATTCTCTAGTTTTCAGTCTATGAAGTGTGCGTGTTGCTTTGGCTATGTTGATGTCATTAAGTTCTGATTGGAGTTGGGTTATGAGTTCAGCATCCTTTGGGTTCGGATTAATCATATGGGATGCTGAAGCATCCCTCAGCGTTCTCAGTAGGTTCAGGGATTTAGTCTGGGAGATCCGCTTGAGATAGGAGGCTTTTCTTATAAACAGACTTCGTACCACTGCCTTGTGGGCTCTCCACACTGTTGTCGGGGGTGTCTCTGGTATTTCATTAGTGGAGAAGTAGTGCTTGAGTTAGGATTCTATCTCCAAACTAAACTTTTCATCTCGCAGAAGCAATTTGTTTAATCTCCATGGGTTACAACCCCGATACCCAAAATCGTCTCTAAAGGTCACAATCACTGGCACGTGGTCGGACCATAAAATGTCTCCCAGGACACACGATTGGAGTAGGTTGAGGGAGGGGCCTGGTGTAAGTAATACATCTATTCTAGAGAAGGATTTGTGAGGTTTGGAGTAGTAGGAGTATTCTCTGTCGGAGGGGTGACAGGTTCGCCAGCTGTCGTATAGGTTAAATTTTGTCAGTAATTGTCAGGGCTTTGCAATTTGGTTTAAGGGATTTGTGTCTGATTGTGTGGGGGGGGGGCGTCAAGGTGTCAAGGTGGGGGTCTAGAATATGGTTTATGTCCCCGCAAATCACAGTAGTACCTCTCTGCACATTTGCCACCTTTGTGAGCACACTAAACAGAAAATTCTGCTGGTTCTCATTTGGTGCGTTCAGGTTTACTATTGTATAAAGTGCGTTGTTCAGTAAACAGATGATAATCAGATATCTGCCTTTATTATCCGAAATTTCTTGTAGCAGTTCAAAGGCAATTGAGCTGTGAACACATATAGATACTCCCCTAGATTTGGATACATAAGATGAGTGAAACTGGTTGGGAAAATGTTTCATGCCAAATTGTTTTTTTTTTTTTTGCTTTAATAAAATGAGTTTCCTGAAGGCAGAGTATGTCCGCCTTCAGTTTGCGAGCCTCCTGGAGTAGCATGTGTCTTTTGTGGGGTATGTTAAGTCCCCTTACATTATGGGAGTAGATCTTCAGTATGAGTTACGAGTAAACCTGTTAGTTAAGCGAGTTAGGGCTACAGTTGGGGGTAGGTACCCTACTCCATGTAAGATGGGGAGGGATCTGAGTAAAATTTCTAGACAGACCATTCCTGAAAAAGGTGGCTGGATGCTTGGCGTGGGAGGCAGGGGTAAACCCAGGGAAGGAGGACAAGGGTATTGGGGGGGGTGAACTTTAAACAAAAGTATATACAAATAAACCCAATCTCGGTGCATGGCGCAAAGGTACAGTGCCGTGGGGGGCATGGGATCGGAGGTGGTGGACGGTCGTTGGCCCGAACAGGCTTATTGGGTGAAGTGCTACGCGCACAACATTATAACTTTAACCTGAGGGATACATTGCATCAAAACCGCAATGGAGTTTAGTATGAGCACTTATGTCTGTGTGTAGTGAGTGAGTCGTCCCTGCGGGACGGTAATTTAGGAGGAAGAGTATCACATTGGTTAGATTCTATGAGACGGATGGCATTCCCGCTACAGTATCAAACTGGGGGCCACTCGTGATGCATTTTCATCAGGTTTAAAACTCAGTACTGTAATTGTTCAAGTAGCCCAAGTGGGGAGGTGTTGTGGGCGTTTGCGGATACAACTTGTTAACAGAATGGGCAAATGATATACCTGCTGCTATGGCAGGTAGGTGAGGAGTGTCGTGATGCTTGGGTTTAACCTATTAACAGTCTGGGCTACCAATCCCTGTGTTGGTGTGCCAGTTATGTGTGGTGCGTCATGGTGTTACAGGTGCATTTTATAAACAATCTAAACAACAATAATCCTGTGGGTATACCGGTTAAGTAAAACATGGCATGACACTACAGGTACATTTACAAACAGTATGGATCAATGAAATACATACAGGTATGTTATATAGGTAAGGTGCGTCTTGGAACTTTGAGTGCCTTTTGGGTTAGTACTACTTGTGCCATTTGTGGACTTCATGGGCATATGGTACACACCCTGGCCTGACCGTCAGGTAAGACTTGTCGTAGAGTTACAGGCACTGTAGGTTTTATGGTTGGCTAATACTTGTACCGATGTGTCAGGTAGACCTGGTTTGTCAATGCACCACGGGTACCTCTTGTGGGCAGTATGATCTATGCTAAGCATATGGGCATGGCCTTTAGTTGCTGATAGGCACTCTGAAGATGGATTATATGCTTACAGGTAATTCAGTTAGGTAAAGCATGGTCTAGTGCTTCTGGTGTAACTGTGCAGCACATCACCTGTCGGTAGACCTATAGGTTTGATAAATAGGTGTGGTGTTACTCGGTGGTATGGTCACAACTGTTAAACTTTGTGGACAGTAATAATCAGATGGGAATATCATTCTAGTGAAACTAGGTAAGAAATTCTTGGTGCCTTATCGGCGTGTCAATTAGGTAAGGTCTGACATGGCCCTTCAGGTGCGACCTGCACATCGAATGGATCAGTGATCATCCTACAAGTATGTTAGGTAAGACAAAGTACTATCTGTCCAACATAGAAACAATATAGGTGAGTACTGTACACCCTAGTTTGCTGCTAAGTGAGATATAGTGCGACTCCTTGGCTACCTCTTATAAGCCTCATGGGCTAACATTTATCACATAGATTTGCTTGTTGGGTAAGACAGATCTTGGTATTACTGGTAATTCCTGTAACAACATTTACATCTAGCAATCATGCAAGTATGTCGGTTAGGTGTAATATAACTTGCCGCTGCTGGTAGATCGTTTAATCGACAGGCAGCCCCATAGTTAGATCAGTTTGTTGAGGTGTCGCCTGGCACTGCGGGTGCTGCCTGTGAACAAAATGGGCGAGTAATGGTCTTACTTGTATGTTTGAGAGGTGGAGTCTAATGCATCTCCCTAGATACAGGTTCTAAGGTATAACGGGCCACCCATGGCACCTGTGTATTAGGTCTATGAAATGGGACCCGTTGCCATGGGTACTCTGACAGGTAAAATCACAGGTACCATGGTGTCAGTGTGGTGCCTTTTCAATGTGATGCATCCGTCGCAAGGATGTGTTTGAGTGGGTTATAGTAGGGTGATTACTTAAATGTGATACAGCTTATATGCCAGTCATGTACCGCCAAAGCGGGAATACTTGCGGTGAGTTGTCAGTGAGTAGTATGCCAATCCTTATCCACTTGGCGCGGTGGTTTGGAAGTTTGAGTATCCCCCACCGTGGGCATGTTCCATTGGCGCAGTAGGTTCAGGCCTTCTTCTACTGTGTGGATGACTTTGGTGGTCCTGTTTCTGGAGGCAATGAGGCGGATAGGGAAGCCCCAACGGTATAGGACATGGTTGGCGCAGAGGGTCTCTGTCACCCTTTGGAAGGCTTTTCGTTGTCGTAGGGTGGCCGCGGAGAGGTCGGAGAACAACTTGATGCTGGAGTATTCGGCAGGTAGGTCTTTAGCTGTTCTGCTTCTCTTCATTAGCAGGTCCTTCACGTGGAAATAGTGGGCTTTCAGCAATACATCTCGAGGTAATGAGGCCACAATCTGCTGGGGCTTCGGGACCCTATGCAGATGGTCCAGTAGCAGCATATCTGTGTGGACCTTGGGGACCAGGGTTCTGAAGAAGCAGTGTATGTAGCTGAGGAGATCTGCCTGGAGGACCGTCTCCGGTATGCCCCTCAACCTGATGTTGCTGCTCCTGGACCTGTCCTCGAGGTCCATAATCTTTGTCTCGCATTGTTGTAGCTGGGAGGTGAGAGATTTAATTTGCTCTGTGTATGCATTGTCCGTGTCAATCAGGTCTTCCATTTTGGCTTCCACGTGCGTTGTACGGGACCCAATGTCCTGTAAGTCGCATTTAAATTCTGCAACGCTGGATTGCCAGATTGTAATCAGCCTTTGTGATTGTTCCTCTAGGGCCAGTTTCAGAATCGTTATAGTAAGTGGCCCTCCATCTTGTGGCGATTCTGCCTCTGATCTCGGGCTGCTGCCTCCAGAAATCTCAACGCCATCTTGTTGGTCCGCGCCCGCCCAGTGCTGCCGCTTTTTTCTGTGAGAAAAAGCTTGATCTGTCGGGTTTTTCTTGTTGTCGTCGGGACTTAGATTGTGACATCTCAGAGATAGCACCGATTTCCCGCAGAGATCTCACAATTGTGTAAGTTCGCCTAGCTCGTGGTGCAGAGCTAAGGACTCAAGAGGCCATCTTTCTCTCCGTCCAGCCACGCCCCCCTCCCTGCAGGTTTTTTAATGTAAACTCTGCCTTTTCAAAGAGAACCCTTGATGAAACCTGTTCACCGCCAAAGGCACCTTTAATGGGAAAGTGAATGTCAGAACTGGTCCATGGAGCAATGGGAAGAGGCTGCCTGGTCTGATAAATCATGTTTTCTTCTGGATCAGATGGATGGCCAGGTACGTATGCATCTTTTACCTGGGGAAGAGAAGGCAGCAGGATGCACTATAGGAAGAAGTCAGGCCAGTGGAAGCAGTGTTAGGCTCTGGGCAACTTTTTTCTTGGTGGACCTTGGGTCCTGCCATTAATGTGGATGTTACTTTGACATGTACCACCTACCTAGAGATTGTTGAAGATCAAGTACATCTTTTCATGGCAATGGTGTTCCCTGGTGGCAGTGGCCCCTTTATGTGTGTGTGTGTGTGTGTGTATGTATTTGGCACTGTATGTACATACATCTAAGCAATCAAACACCAACACAACATGCAAACCGACTCATGCAACCTAACACAAATATTACATACAAACACACCCCTGCATTTAAACTTCAAAAGTATATACAAACACACCCCTTTAGTCAAACACCAATACTACACCTAAATGTACATCCACATTTAAAAGCCAGCATTACATCGAAACACTCTCCTGTAATCAAACGCAAATATTACATACAAACACACCCCTGTATTAAAACACTAAAATTATATAAAACACACCTTTTTCCAAACACCAACACTACACACAAAAGCACACCTGCATTTAAAAGCAAGCACTACATACAAACACACCCCTGCATTCAAATGCATGCCTACATGCACACATATACTTTATACAAAATGTGCTTACATTCAGATGTACAAAAGCTGTTTACACATACAAGCCTGCAAGCATGGGCAAATGGTTGCACTAGCGGGGGGGCCAGAAAACGACTTGCACTAGGGCCCTGTCTACATTAGTTCCGCCACTAGGATACTCGCATGAGGTGCTTGCATGAAAGAGCGGGACACAGGGCTTCTGATGGTTCCCGAGTCTCCCTGAGTCTGCGAGTAACCAATTGTATGGCTCTAAAACTGCCATAATATGACAATATTATGCCTCTAAAACTGCAATGATGTGCCAATATTATGCATATCAAGCTGATTGTCATGATGTGCCAAGTTTATTCATCTAAAGCTGTTTGCCATGATATGCCAACCTTTCCCCCCCTTCTTTTTAAGACACGAGTGGGTCGTGAAAAATTAGTTTTCAAAAATATGTCTTAGCCAATAAAAGTTGTAAAGCCCTGATCTAATGGATTGATAGCAATTCATATAAGTATTTGAGTATTTTTTGAGGATTGCGGTCATAAAATACAGCACTTTTACAAGCACTTTTCATGCACTTTACCACTTTATAATTGTTTGCAATATTTCATGGATTATATCACCTTGGCACATTTTTATTTAAGTGGTTAAATATTGGATGTGTACCATTTTTATATGTGTAATGCCACCTGGAACTGTAACTCTCATTAATATAGATAGCACTCAGCGGTGGAAGAGCCTTGAATGCTTGAGGACTCATTTGGAGACACATGCAAGTAGGGCCACCCAATGGGTATTTATGAACAGGGGCCTGCAGTCCTTTGACAACTCGACCAGGCCCCAGTAATATTGGCAATGCTGGGAGGAAGTGAAAGCCAGCCCAGGGAGAGCCTATGAGGGGAGGTAGAGAGGCGGCACAGACAGGAGGCATGCGGAGCAAGGAGAGAGCCTGCTCTAGACCCAGACATTTCAGCTAGTAGCAGGACCCCAGAGCAGCAGACAAGAAGTATGTTAGCAGGAAGGTGGCTAAAATATGAAAAAGATGACATGTATATGTTTTTTTTGTTTGTTTGTTTTTTTACTGTGTGCATCTATGTGGCTGTTAGTGTATATCATTGTATGTGTCAGTGTGTGTATGTGCCAGTATGTGTGTTCTGATCTGACTGACTGAGATTAGTGTGAGTTACACTCCTGAGCTGTAACTCATTGTCTCCATGTGTGTATCTATGTAAGTCAGTGTGTGTATATGTGTGTATCTTTGCATCTGAATGTGTGTATGCATCAATATGTATCTGAGTATGTCTATGTGTCGTGTGTATCTGTGTATGTATTTATGTACAGGTATGTGTCAGTGCATGCATATATGTTCAAACATCCCATCAATAAAATGCCAAGACTATGCAAACACACCCTTGCAATCAAATGCAAACATTACATACATGCACACCCCTTCATGCAAACACAAATTCTACACACAAATGTACTCATGCATTTAACCCCTTCAGGACGGGTGACGGACGAGGTCCGTCACACAGGGGAAACCCTTAACGACGGGTGACGGATCTCGTCCGTCACGCGGTAAAATTAACCCCGGATCGCCGCTATCGCGGCGATCGCGGGGTTAATGGTGCTCCCGGTATGCCTCTGCATTAGAGGCATACCGGGAGCACCCGGTCAGTCTGCCCAGCACATGTGCTCGCTCTGACCGCAAGTCTGAGCGAGCACATGTGCTCTCTATACTCACCTACCGGCTCCCTGCACTTCCGGGTTCTGTGTGAAGTGCAGGGAGCCGGATCAGTGCTGATCCTGCCCCCTGCTGTAAAAAAAAATAAAGTTTATTTAAAGTCCCCCCCCCCTTACCCATTTTAATAAAAAATTAACCCCTTCCCTGCCAATTGATCACTGACTACAGTGATCAATTGGCAGGGATTACATTTTACTATGATCTGATTTTTTTTTTAACCCCTGAGGGTTAATTCTTTTTTTTTTTAACCCTCAGGGGTTAAATTAATTAAATTAATTAATTAAATTATTTTTTAATTATATATTTAGATAGCTGGGGTGGGTGGAAGTTAGTGGGGAATTGGGGGATTTGGCGTTAGGCTAACTAGGGGTTAACGTTAAAAAAAGTTTTAAAAGAAACTTTAAAAAGTTAAAAATTAAGCTTAAAAAAATGTTTTAATAACATTTAAGTAAAAAAAACAAAAAAAACACACTTTACCTAGTCCAAATAAAAATTAACCCCTTCCCTGCCAGTCGATCACTGCCTACAGCGATCAAATAGAGATCACAGTATTATACTGTGATCTAATTTTTTTTAACCCCTGAGGATTAACTTTTATTTATTTTTTTAACCCTCAGGGGTTCAATTTATTTAATTAATTAATTTAAATATTTTATAACTATATATTTTGCTAGCTGGGGTGGGTGGGAGTTATGGGAAAATGGGGAATTTACTGTTACTGCTGCGTACTGCTAGTTAGGGGTTAACGGTAAAAAAAAAAGCTTAGAAAAATGTTAAATCTGTAAAAAAGTTTTAAGAAAGTTTAGGAAAGTTTAAAAAAAATTTATAAGCAAAACAAAAGTTTAAAAACTAGTTTTTAAAAGTAAAAAAGTTATAAAAAGTAAAAAAATACATTTTAAAAACGCTCATTACCACTACACCTGGAGCAAACTAGAGAAAAAATTATCCCACGCCAAGGTTCAAAATATGCCTTTTGAATTACCCCAGGGTGTATTCTTTAATAAATAGTATGTGTTTGTGGGGAAGTTTCAATAACCAACCGTCTAAACTACTCCAAATTGGAACATGGACACAGCGTAAAACTTCAAAGTTAGAAAAAACTGAATGGCTGCGTCTCAAATGCGCCCCTTCAACATCCACATATACCTGGCAAAGGTACATACGGGGGTATTGCTGTACTCAGCCGACATAGCTGAGCAACATATGAAGTATTATACAGTCATAGCACACATAAGGTTTGCAAAATATGCTGCGCAAACTCACTTTGTATGTCAAAAAGGCAGAAAAAATGCTTATTACCACTACACTTGGTACAAGCTAGCGGAAAAATGATCCCACGCTAAGGTTCAAAATATGCCTTTTGAAATACCCTGGGATGTCTTCTTTAAGAAATGGTATGGCTTTATGGGGAATTTGGATTATATAGCCTGGTAAAATACTCTAAAATGGGACATAGGCACAGCATAAAAATTCTAAGTTTGAAAAAAACTGGAATGGCTGTGTCCCAAATGTGCCCCTCCGATGTCCACACATACCTGGCAAAGGTACATACGGGGGTATTGCTGTACTCAGCCGACATAGCTGAGCAACATATGAAGTATTATACAGTCGTAGCACACATAAGGTTTGCAAAATATACTGTGCAAACTCACTTTGTATGTCAAAAAGGCAGAAAAAACGCTTATTACCACTACATCTGGTACAAGCTAGCGGAAAAATGATCCCATGCTAAGGTTCAAACTATACCTTTTGAAACACCCTGGGGTGTCTACTTTAAGAAATGGTAGGCCTTTGTGGGGTAGTTTGAATTTAAAACCTGCGAAGATGCTTGGAAATTGCACATAGTCCCAGCGTCAAAATTCAAAGTTTGGTAAAAACGGATATGTCTTGGTCTCCTATATGGCACTGTAGCTTCACGAAATAGTGCCAAAGACATTCATATGGGGTGTCATTTTACTCAGAAGACTTAGCTGAGCATAAATTGGGGGGTTTGAACTTAGTGGCACATATGAAATATACAAAACGCCCAGCA